GAAACAGTATATAACAGGTTATGGTATCAGATACTATATAGGTTCTTTTTAATCATATTCACCTGGGATTGAACTAGTATCTTGTGATCTGACCTGTGAAGTATTAACTATTATATTATAGATTCACAAATTTAATTACTATATACCACTGTATACAATACTCCAGGTATTTTATTAGGAGAGGTAATATTAGTGGCAGAGTATATCATTATTATAAAATTCAAAATAATATTGTCTTACTTATTATTATATTAATATACCTAGGTAGTAATCAATTATTAAGCAACAATTTTCTTGAATACTATCCAGTATTATTAGTAGGGGGTAATATTTGGAGAGGGGTATTGTATACAGTAGTATATGGTAATTAAAATAATTTGAAATTTATAATTATTTATTATATAATATAAAATTACGTAATAAGATTAATAATAATATTTTTTAATTAGAAAACTTTTTTTTAAAGTTAAAAAAAATTATATTATTAATAATAAGATTAAAAAATTAAATAATATTTAGAAATAAAAATAAAAATTTTATTTAATAATGTAAAAATTTATTAATATTTCAAACAAATTTTATATTTAAATAATATTATATTAAAATATAAGTTATTTAAAATAATAAATTTATTAAGTTAAACCTATGAATCAATGGTACAGTAGATAGTACTTCTAGATTACTAAATATATATTTGTTTAATATATATAGAAAAAAAAAACACAAAAAATTTTATTTATATATAGATTTATTTATTTTCTATATATTAAGTATTTAAATATTCAAATTTTTATCAAATTTAATTAGATTGTATAAAGATAAGACCTTTGATTTTTCTAACAATTGCAAATTGAAAACAGGTTGAAGCAAAAAAATTATATAAAAAAAAGTTTCTAACTTTTATTATAAGCTCATATTTTCTCTTGATATAGTAAACTTTATTATATAATATATTAATAAAATACAAACTATTCTTAAAAAAATTATTGATAGTAAACATTAATATATAAAGTAGTATAGAAAGGATACTTAAATAATATTGTATATAAAAGCTATATTCTACTTGACATTTATACTTTTAGATTTAATAACTTATGTTAATCAAAAGTCTTTGACAATATTTATTAGAATATTAAGAAGTTATGTTCTACTTGACTATTATAGCTTTTAGATTTGATAGCAAGTAATTAATCAAAAGACAATACTCTTAAAGCATTAACTAGAAAATATATATTTTCATTATAATTCTTCTTGTTATGATATATAAATCAAAGACAAGATATGATAGAAGGATTTATTTAGAACTAATATATATTAAGAAAAAATTAAGATTTAATTTAAAACTTAAATTTTGAATTTGAATTTTAATATAATTGAATTATTCAGATTAAGTGATTTAAACTATATATAGAACTTCTATCTCTTGATAATTTTATCTGATATATTGACATATTATTTAATATTAGTTAGTATAGTTGGATTAGTTAGGTATTAAATATAGATTAAACCTATAAAAAGAAAACCATAAGATACTGTATATAGTAACAATTAAATAATTAATAAAAATATTGTGGATTGTAGTATCTTTTACTTTAAAAAAAAAATAATAAAATAAATTTATTAAGTTTTATAAAAAAAAAAACAATTTTAATTTTATATTATTTAATTAAATAAGTTGCATTAATTGAAATCTGATTATTTGACAATATGCCACTTATCAATTATTTGACATATAATAAATAATTTATCAAATATTTATCAACAATTTGACAATTATTGCCAAATTGGTTATGTCAAATTATTGTTGAATGTTTAATAAATATTTGACGAATTATTTATTGTATGCTGAATAATTAACAAGTGGCATATTGTTGAATAATTGAATTTCAACTAGTGTTGTTATTATTAAAAAAAAACAATATATTAATATATTAATATAAATAAATCTAAAAGCTATTTTTATTTATTTTTTTATTAATCTAAAAAATAAATATTTTTAAAAAACTTCTTAATAACAAATTTGTTTAAAACAATCACTTTTTTTTTAAAAAAAAAAAAATCATAAAATATATATTTGTAAAATCCATGATAAAAAAAATTATAAAAAAAATTTTTTAATTATTTTTCAAAAATTTTTTTTTAAAAACTAGATTTTTAATATTAATATTTTTTTTTAAAGGCTAATGTGCAATACACAAGGATTTTATTGTAAATTAACAAATTACAAGTAACTATTATATGATCAATCTAGATTAACTAACTTTCTATTCATATTCTAATCCAAGTATCAACTTATACTATAAAGGTAGGTTTATATCTGGGCAGGAACTTTAAAGAACTTTTTATTTTTTATTTTTTATCTGTTTTTAACTATTACTAGGGTTCCTTATTACTTTATTCTATAACCCATGTACTAAGATATCATAGAGCTTACTTCTTTACACTTTCTAGTAAATACTTCAAAAGTTTGTTCTTATGATTGACCATCTGGAAGTTCTTTATCAAATGAAGTGCAACTTCTAAATCTCTCAGTAGACACTCCATAAGTCTTTTAGTTAGTTTTAACTATTAAATCTAAGATATGAATGCCAAACAGGGCACAACTCCTATAAAGTAGCCTCAAACTTCCAATTATACCTGTAAGGTTCCAGTCCTGTTTTAAATAATCATCCCAAAGTTGCTTAATAAAGTTTAACAAGTTTTTTTTTTATAGTCTTGTAAATTATAGGAGGAGAAAATGATCAATGTAAAACTGGGAAATGTACTAAATGCAATATTGATTATAATAACACCAACCAGACAATTAATGTTTTATGATATCTTAACTGAAAATTACAATTTCAATGCCCACTGGATTAATGTGTGAAACAATTTCATATAAGAAACAGTACTTAATAGGTTACAGCATCAAATACTAGTACTATTCAACTGCTTATACATGAAGTTAAACTGGTATCTTGTAATTTGACCTGTGAAGCACTAACTACTGTGCTATAGATCTACAGGTTTTTAATATTAATATTTTATTATAATTCTTTCTTAATATATGATTTTTTTTAAAGTTTTTTAGAAAATTTTGTTTATTTGAATTTTACTTTTGATTTTTGATTACATTGAAATTTTTATATAATAATTGATTAAATTTTTTAAATTAATAAATTTTATGATGATAGAAATATAAATAAAACGGGTTTTTATATTTTTTATTATATTATGATATAATTGATTATTTAATTAAAATCAAATAGTTTTTAATTAAAATGATAAATTAAAACATGAATTTTTTTTTTATATAATTTGATATTCTGCCTTAATATATAAAATATTTAAAAGAATATTAAATTTAAATCAAAATTTTAAAAACAGAAAAAAAAAACATTTTATTTTATTTTAGTTAAAAATTTACTTGTTTATTTATAAAAATGATTAAAAAAAAAAAGAAATTTAAAATAAAATCTTGATTAAATGAAACAATAATTTTAAAAGATCATAACTTAAAAAAAAAATTGTTAATAAAAAACAAATATTTTTTTTTTGATTAGAAATCTTTAAACAATAATATTAATAAAATATAAAAATTGTAAAGTTTAAATTGCTAATTAGTTTATATGTATTTTTATTAAATATAATTGAAATAGAAACAACGTTTTGAAAACTAGCTTTAATTGATTTAGAAATGCTATCAAAGCTATTAAAATATTGAAAAGTTTTTTAAATATGTTTCTTATATATTTTGTAAATTTTTGAAGAGAAGAATTTAAGAAAAAGTTAAAACTATAATATAAAAGTTGAACAATTTGTCAATTTTTAAGTAATACAAATTTAAAGATTTAAAAAAAGTTAGAAAGAATACTTTGTTAATAATAATCTTTGTAATACAATTTAAGTTATTAGCTTTACAATAGTTAAGGTGAAGCTTATTTTCAACTTTTTTGTATTCTAATTAATATTAATCTTTAATAAATTCTTTTTTTGCAAAGGTTCTGAATAATTCATGATTCCTATATTTAATTTTTAAAAAATGTGCCTTTAGAAAATGTTTTGAAAGAACTCTTAGCATCTGATATGCCCTAATCCGAAGAATGTCTGCATCACAAAGTAACAGTGATGCTAGCATTCCCGATGTAAGAAGGAGTAGTCAGTCAATCACTGAAATCTATAAATGAGGAGAGTTAAATTTCGTTTTTTTAAAAAAAAAGTTCTACTATTACTACACCGACAACGAATGTAGTGAGTTATTCGTGATTTAACGGTTATATAACTAAAGAAAAATATTATGATCATCATGGGTTAAATATTTTCGTGTGTAAATACTGTATATCAATCGCAAATTATTATTATTATTATTCTTGGCAAAAGTGATCTCTGTTTCAATTTAGAACTGATACGAGCAAAAAACAAAAGATAATTGATAGAGGGAAATATTCCAATATAAAAAAACTCATTCATTAGCTTACCGCTATGATTAAACCGCCTGATTTATCAAAATTTCCTACGATTTCTCTAGATGACATAGATTTCTTCAAACTGTATCACGAGATTAACATTGCCGAATCGCGCAATGAAAACACAAACAAGAAGTCCTTAAAAGTACTATGACTTTGGGGAAGCACTATCGTTATGCTTTGATTATTACAAAAAACAATCATATGGGGGTATATGGCGAGTAGGGCACTTGTGAATGATTCGTCTCTCACGAAAAAATCATTTCAGGAAAAAGAGCGGAGAGAGCGAGAAAAATAGATAGTTTGTTTTAGTAGTCTCGCGAAAGGTGATAAGAGTAAGGAAAGAATCGATTGGGTTAGACTTTTTCTGCATCGGCAATTGCAAGACTAACAGTGGATGATATCAAATGAAAAGCAGTATTAATAATAGTGCGCCTGTGACATCGGGTCACGCCCGCGGACACGTCTGGAACATTTGTCATATATGAAACATGAAACATAATAAACCTTGTATCTGTACTAGTTGTTCCTGTCCTGTACCTGTATTTAACCAATATGGAAAATTACTTAAACGAAGAATCAAACCATGTTTCGCGTAGCACCTCAAGAAGTATGTGAACTTCTTATTTTGCTTTAAAGGCAGGATTGTGTTATTTATTATTTGTCGAAAAATAGCCACGTCTAGTGCAACGGAAGTTTCTACTTCTGTTAGTCGTTCGATGAGGGATGTCAGCTGGTACCGCCAGCTTTGGTGGAACACTGGTAACTTTCATCACAAAGCTATGTGGAGTGAGGCGACGTAAGTCTTCTATTTGTTTCGACGACTCGATATTCTATAGTGGCCAATATCAGTTATTATTTGTTGCCAAGTCTACCATACGTGCTCAAGACTGGTATCACCTTGGACGAATATATTTTTCAAACAGACAAACATAACATAAAAGGCTTTTGGGAATGGGAAAATGAAACTGTTCGTGTTGTCGAACTTCCCACAACCTTTCACGAGGAAACTATCGGTACAATAGTGAAAAGATTGGGTGCACTGCTTGGTCCCCTGGATGACACTCCTGCTGAAATTAAATTTACTGGATCAGCGAGTGAGTTTTGGGTTTTCTTTATGTTACTACATTCTTAGTATGCTTTTATTACTCACTACTGTTGAATAAAGCAACAAAGGGCAGTGGAGGAGGAAAGGAGCCTGATGAATCTTTTCGGCCTCTTGGAAAACCTCCAGTTCCTGGCGGTGGATATGATGGAGCTGTATGAAGTGTTATTAATCTTGTGTACTTGCTGACGTGATTGTGTCGAATTCCTAATATTGGTAACAACATATAATCTTAGAACAAACCCTGGCCCAATCTTGTAATCGAAGTCGCCTATGCCGTGACTGAGGCGGAACTTAAGAA